CCGGGGGGGGGGTGGCCGTGCCCAGGGGGGCTCCCCCAGCCCTGGTTGATGGGGTGGCTCCGAGCGGGGTGCCCCAGGGGGGTGAGGGTCCCCAGGGCTGCCCGCCCAGGCGGTGGGGGGGCATGGGTGGGTGGTGGGTACAGCACCCCTGGCACTGCAGCACCCTGGGGGGGTTGGGGGGGGGCTGTGCTGGGTTCCCCCAACCCCGTGGCACCTTTCCTGGGGTGGTGGTGGGGTACAGTGGGGTGCTGGGGCTGAGCCTCCTTGGCACCCAGCGTTTCGGCTGGGGAGGGGGGGTGGATGCCCCCACCCGAGTGCCCCACTGTGAGCCCCAGCACCTCGGGGCACCCCACTACAGGGGTACCTCCTGCCCCCCCATTGCTGGGTGCCCCCACCGTGGCCAGCCGGCAGCCCCCGTGCCGGTGACCCGAGGGATGGGCATGGGGGCCTGGCACGTCCCTTTGGGGGGACACATGGCACCTCCTGCTTGGGGACATGTGGGACATCCCGCTCGGGGGCACACAGCACACCCCATTTGGGGACACGTGGCATGTCCCCCTCGGGGACAGGCAGCAGGTCCTGCTGGCCAGCGCGGTTTCTTTGGCAGGGCTGCCGGGGATGGGTTGGGGGGCCTGGCAGGGCTGGGGGTGGGCAGGATTTCACAGTGATCTGCAGAACGGAAAAGAAACAAAATACACTTTTTCTCCCCCTCCTTTTCACCCCAATATCTGTGGCCCAAGAACGCGGGAGAGCGGCTGAGCCCACAGCAGGGACCAGGGCTCCATCCCACCCTGGCGCAGGCGATGGCCGGTGCTCCCCCACCTCTGCCCCTGCCCGCACCGGCCCCGAGCCCGCAGGGATGCTGGAGCTGCACACCCCGGGGGGGCTGGTAATCGCTGGAACAAATAATACTGACCCGCACATTCAAGTCAAGTCCTTTGTGTCCTCGTTGCTGACAATAAACACCGCCGGTCTCCAGGCGAAAATGTCGGAAACTCGATGTAGAAAGATCTGGTTTAAAATCTTCAGGCTAAAAAAATAGGCGAGGTGGATATGGGGAGGCGGGGGGGGCATGGGGGGGTGTCACGGGCGGAGGGTGCCGACGCCACTTTCCGAGTCCGAGCGGCCGGGAGGGCACGACGCTGGGGCACCCACCCGGTCCCCGCTCTGCCGGGGAGCCCCTGCCCGCACCCCGACTCTTCTTTGGCTGCGGCATCGCGGGGGTCCCCGAGGCGGCGGAGGGGACATCGCTCCACCAGGCCGGGGAGGGGGATGGAGATGGGAGCTTGAAAGAAAAGAGAGCTGGCGGGGTGGCTTTTTTGGGAGGGGGGGGAGGCTAAAGGCAGGCGGCCGGGGGCAACGGGTGCCGGCTGGTGCTGGAGTAGAGGAGCAGCAGCTGCAGGGAGAGCAGGACCCCCAGGGAGGGGGTGAAAGAAGCCCCTCGGCCGCAGTCTGAGGTATCTTCCTGGGGGGGCAAAGGGAGAGGGACAGTGGAGCACCTCTTGCGGTACCTCTGCGCCCCAGGGGCACTCACTGCCCCCCCTCCTGCCCCCATGGCACTGCCCCCCCCTGCCAGGGGACACCCCATGGTGCTGTTCTGCCCAGAGGCACCCCAAGGCTCCTAATGCCCACCCCCACCCCCTCCCTCGGGGTCCTACCAGGGCTCCAAACCCCCATTGCTGGGGTCTCCCCACAGCACTGCACCCCTGGGATGCCCCCATGGCTCTGCTTCCCTGTAAGGGGGGGGAGGACACATGACACATTCACCCCTCCATTCCACCCCAGGGGGGGACCCCTCAGCTCTGCTCCCCTGGGGACATCCCATGGCTCCACTCCCCCCTGAGGGGAACCCACTGCCCCAATTCCCACCAGGGGACACCCCACAGCTTTGCTTCCCTGGGGACAACTCCATGGTTTTGTTGCCCCCATCCCCAGGGGGCACCCACTGCCCCCATCCCTCCCCAGGACCTTCCCCCCCCCATACCCCACGTACTGTTGCATTGTAGTCGAAGCAGATGTGGGGGCCTTTCCGGTAGCGGGGTCTGTCCACCAGCTCACACTGGTTGGGATCCCTCGGGGGGGCTTCACAGGTCAAGGAAACCACCAGGGACAGGGCGGTGGGGGCCCGTGGGACACCCCCATGGCCACCCTCAGCCCCTCTGGCCATGGACTGGCTCCCTCCACCCCTTCCAGACCCCATACCTCCCGTCCCCCCTGCCCTGTCCCATGGCCCCTACCTGTCCCCCCCCAACCCCCTCTGCCACCACATCCCTGGGGGACGCAGCTGGGCCACCAAAGGATACCTCTTACCTCCGCCTGCAGCAGTTTGACAGACTCACACTGGCTGCAGATGGGCTTGTCGGCCACCACGAAGAGCAGGTTGGTGTTGGCCAGCCTCTGCGCGTGGAAGAGCCTGGGGGTGTGACAGCAGCGAGGACCCCAGTTACCCTGTGCCCCGGTCCCCCTCTGGCCCCTGCTGCCAGCCCTGCTGGCGGGTGGCTCTGGGGAAGCTGAGCCAGCAGGGCAACCCCATATCCCCAACCTCAGCCCCATCCTTCTTCCCATCCCCAGCCTCATCCCCTTCCTCGTCCCCATCCCTGTCCCCAACCTCATCCCCAACCCCATCCTCATCCCTGTCCTCCATCTCCACCCCACTCCCCATTCCCATGCCGAGGGGCTGCCCAGGGAACTGGCACCCATGGACTTTCAGGGCTCAATCCCACTTGGAGGAGCTCTGGGGACATCATCATTACCCCACTGCCCATGGGGACGCTACCGCTGATCTCTGTCTCCCCTGTCCAGATGCCACAGCCCCCCCAAGCACTGCAGGGCACCTGCCATCGTCCCCCTTCTCCCTCACAGGTGGCTGCACGGGGTTCCTGGCAAAGGCAATAGTGCCCGGGTGGTGGGACGATGGGGACGGACCCACCTGGAGCAGTTGCCGCAGTCGATGATGGCGTTGTAGGTGGCGTTGACGGTGCTGAAGTAGTACTGTGTCTGCTTCATGATGCAGCTCGTCTCCCTGGCCTCCATGCTGTCCCCTGCCACCTCCTCTGCACCGGCACAGCGCCGTGGGCCAGGGGGCATGGATCCCCTCACCACACCGCCCCACCACATCCCCTGCCCACCCCCAGCCTGGGGCTCCCCAGGAACTCACCCGTCTGGAACCAGCTGCTGTAGGTGAGGCCGTACAGGAACTGCTGGAAGAGGGACCTGGGGAAGGAGAGAGCAGCCACGTCAGCTGTCCCAGTGACACGCCAGTGTCACCTCTGGATGGAAACAGCCCCCAGGGAGGGGACACGGTGAGACCCACCAGGCTGCAGCTGAGGTCCACCAGGCGAGGTTCAGGAGATCGGCCACAGTGGGCTGTGGGCAAAGAGGGGGCAGTGAGCCAGCAGGTCTCTGTGCAGGGCACTGGGGACACACCCATGGGTCCCCAAGCTCCTGGACCATCTGGAAGCCACCATCCCCATGGGTGCTCACCACAAAGACGCCGCGGGGTGCAGCGCCTGTGTTGCTCTGGGCCTCAGGGGCACAGACAGACTGGAAGTCATAGGACTCCTTGCGGGCGTAGAAGGAGTTGTTGTAGAGGGCAGACATCAGGTTGGCGTCCACCTCGCTGAAGAACTTGCCCACCTGGGATGGGGACACCGAGTCTGCATCTCAACGACACCTTGCCATGGGTCTCCCCTGGTGGGGACTTGAGTGGGGCTGTGTCATGCCACCCATGACACGAGCTCAAAGGTCTCAGCTCCCCTCTGGCATCCCATGCCCAGGAGAGCTACCACGCAGGCACCGCTCACCTGGTACCAGTGATCCTCCTGGTTGGAGAGCACCAGGAACCCCCCATCGTCGATGAGGACGCAGATGAGGTCCTGGGGAAAGATGGCAGCGTCACCCACCTCCTGGCCATGCACAGGGCAAGGCAGGACAGGCAGGACCAGGGGGTGACAGAAGGGGGGCCAGAAAACGTCCCCAAACCTGAGGGCTGCTCAGGAGCATCTTGGTGCCGGGAGTACCTGCACTGGGTGCAGGAAGAAGGAACCCCCACCCACCCTGAGGGGTTTAACAGCCCCTCTCCCTGTCCACGGTCCAGGGGGCAACCCCCAGGGCTTCGCCCCTGCAAGGGGGGTCAGGGGGCTGCCTGAGCTCTGGGAGTGGCAGGGGGACAGGGGACAGCAAAGGCAGAGTGGGCAGGGGACGGGGAGTCCCCCCAGCCATCCCCTGCCTGCTGTCCCCCACTGTCCCCACCCCTGCCCACCACTCACCTTGTTGTTGGCCTCGCAGTCCATCTCGCAGCTGGTCGAGGGGTCGCACTGTCAACCGAAGTGGGGGCAGAGGGACAGGTTAGCAGGACCACCCCCCTGCCCCAGAGCTGTCTTCCTGGCCAGCTGGGGACACGTGGGATGGTGTCCCCAGGGGATGGGGATGGGTGCCTCAAGCAGGGTGACAGGCAGGGCTCCCTGTCCCCATCCCCATGCCATGCCAGCACTGTGGGAGCCCCAGGGGACGTACCCGACGGGCGCCCAGCTGGTCGCGGTCCGTCCGGTTGCTTGCCAGCACTTTGAACTTCTCAGCCCAGGCCTCCAGGTCCAGCTTCACCCCCACCACTGGGGCAGCGAGGAGATGGATTGAGCCCCAGTGCAGGAAGGAGGGGTGACAAAAACCCCCCAGCCTGGCAGTGGGGGACACGGCCCCCTACCTACCTGCTGGCTTCAGCGTCTTGCCCCCGATGCTGAGCTCCACGGCTGTGCTCACCAGGATCCCGATGGTGTTGTTCTCCAGGTCCAGCCCCCGGTAGCCGGCTGCAGAGGGCAGGGGTTGCATGAGGGACATGTGGGGCCAGTGGCAGCCTGTGCCACCCCCTGCCACCCGTAGCTGGCACCCACCGTCCCGGTAGGGCGGCTTGAAGATGTAGCCCTTGTTGTCCAGGCTCCTCCGGTAGAAGCTGGCGTTGAAGGGCTCTGGTTCCTCCTCCCAGTCGTCTGCAGCCCTGGGGGTGAGCAGCCAGGGTCACTGTCACTCAGCTCCAGTCCCGCTAGAGATGGCCCCGTGTGGGACCAGATGTGTCACCACGTGGGGCCTGGCATGTGCCCACCCCCTGGACACTCACTTGTTAGGGAAGACACGGGTGATGCCCCCGTCAGTGGCGGCGAAGACAGCCAGGAGGCTGTATCTGCAAGGAGAGGGGTGGGCACGCCAGGCATCAGCGGAGCTTTGCTTTGCCCCTGCCCCATCCCCGTAGCCCATCTCAGCCCCCTGATCCCCCTCTGTCCCCAGCCACCTCGCCCCCACCTACGTGTTGAGGTCCTGGTCCTTCCAGACCCGCTCCACCAACTGCTGCGTGATGCCCGTGTCCAGGATCAGGTTGTGCAGGAGGAAGTTGTCACCTTGGGAGGAAGATGAAGGAGGAGGAGAAGGACGAAGTGAGGGCTGGCCCTGTGGGGGCCACCCTTGTCCCCCCGCTTCATCCCGACACTGGTACCCACTCTGCAGTGGCTCCCGGGACCCCAACCCTGGCACTATCCACCCTCTGCCCCATCTCCCCCCTCGCCCCTGTCCCCTGCAAACTCCTCCCCCCAGCCACCCCCCCAGCCATCCCCAGCTACTCACACTGCTTGGAGTCTGGGGTCACCTTTTCCATGAGGGCAATAAAGTTTTCCAGGAACTCGGTGTTGTTATCCGACAAGTCGAGGTCTTTGCAATACTCTCTGGGGTTTGGGGGACAAGGTTTGTCGTTCGCGAGGATGGAAAAGGCAAGGTCAGTTCTCCCCCCGGGGACGGCGGGGCAGGCGCCAGCCGTGCTGCCAGCACCTCGGCTTGCCAAGGGACACGATGGTGGCCACGTGCCACCGCTCCCGTAAAGTGTCACCCCGCCGGGGCAGCCGGCTCTGGGCATCTCTGCAGACTGCCTGGCACCCAGCCCTCTGCTGCCCGCAGTGCTGCAGGCTCGGCCATCACACCAGCCACCGGGTCTGCCACTGCCACGGCCACCAAGGTGCCGTCACCTCTGCCAGGGCCAGGCTGGATGGGATCCCATTTTGCCCAGAGCAGTACAACCCTGAGCCCTGGCTCTCCCCATCCTGGTGGGGCTACGCTGGTGGGACTGGGCATCTCTGCCACCGTACTTACCTGTGGGGCACCCTGCCCTGCCCCTGTGTCACCCAGGGGAGTGGGGGTTTGCCTCGGGAGCCCCCGGGGCTGTGCCGGTGGCACCACACCGGTGCTTGGCAAGCCATACCTGCACCCTTTGCATAGACAGTTAGGGGCTGGGTGAGGTCCTGCCGTGGGAGGTGGGCACTCACCCGTGAGCATCGCTGGCCCTGAGCCCCTCCTGGGACAGGCACATCCCCGCTCCGGTCTGGGGCCGCCCTGAGTGCAGAGCCCTGGCCCCGCTGATGCCAGGGACAGTCACGACCCCATTGGTCACCACGAGGCTCTTAGCCAGGTGGCACGGGTTAGTGCCACTTTGGGGTGCTGAGAGCCTCCCAGCCTCAGCAGTCCTGCAGGCAGTGCCGGGGGGGGGGGGGG